TGAGGGCATAAAAGGTAAAAAGGAGGCTAGGAGAGATTGCAAAGGGTTAGGGTCGCCGTGAGTCAGAGTCGATTCCATGGCAGTGAGAAATCGGCAGGGCTGTGGCCGAAAGGATGTTGAAGGGGCAACTTGATCTGGCTTGACCTGGGGTCTCCCTGCCTCCCCACTTTACAGAAAACCCCACTGAGGAGACACAGCTGGGCTGTCTTCCTTCACTCTGACATCTGCTCTCCCCGCTCAATAAGTAAGTAAATAAATAATTAGGGTCCTAACGTTAAGAAATGAACTAACAGTGAATTCTCCATTTTGACTTACAGTTGGAGAAAAGTCACCGGGATTACCTGCTTGAAATTAGGATTTGTCCCTTGGGTGTGGCCTTTGACCTCTGATACTTTGGCCCCTGTCAGCACTGTCCTTCCATTCATTTTAATTGAATCAATCATTTGTGGGAAAGAAATCTTGCTAGTCCACTTGATCCGTGTATCCGCAGGATTTCCTTGTTAAATGTATTATTATTATTATTTGTTTTTTTAACTACCATTTCTAAGGATTAGCCAGGCCTGGAAATAGCCCCGGTTGTGTAGTGGGTTATAGGTCGGGCCGCTAATCACAATGTCAGCGATTTGAAACCTCCAACTGCTCCATGGGAGAAAGCTGAGGCTGTCTGCTGCTATGAATATACAGGGGTTGGAAACCAACTGGCTGGTTCTACTTTGTCTCTGGAGTCAGAATTGACTCCATTGTCGTAAGTTTGGGGTGTTTTTGGAGAGCCACGCCTAGCCTTTCAGACACCTTGGCGCAGGAACCCATAACAAGTGAAAGGAATGTACAGAAGAGGCAGCAAGAAAGAGCATGACCTTCTGATTCAGGGGCAGGATAAAGACAAAACCCCAAGTTAGAATGATCATCCAGAAACCCAGTTCCGTAACTGTCAAGAGACTATGTGGAAGCAGTTTTTGTTGGGAATGGGCTGAGCGGTAAGTACTAAATGAGATGGGACTTGTCCCGTGGATGCCTAGGGCAGACTCATTCACAGATCAAGAAGATTTTGAGAGCTGGTAAGACCTCAAAGTTCATCCAATTCAAGAATGTCCAAGTTGCCAAAGTCTTTGCACTGCTCCCTATTTCCAAGGCCAGAGGCCTGTGCGTTATATTCATTATTGATACAGTTTGGGAAATTCCCAGTTGTTCATCTCAGTTGAACTCCTACCCACATCTCCTCATCTTCTTCAGCATTGGCACACATTTTTATTAACCATTTTTTTTCTTAAAGCAATTTTTTCCTGGTTCACTTACATTTCACAGGTCTTTTTCTAATGAAGTGCTGCCAATCTTCATAGTTAACCAAAGGATTCTAAGAAAGAGATTGAATGCATATGTTTTTCAAAAGCCAGAAAGAAAAGGTAAACACTCCCATTTCAACTCATGGTCACCTTGTAGAACAAACAGGGTAGAAGCTGGTGGTTTCCAACTGCTGACCTTGCAGTTAACGGTGCCATAACCATTATACCCCCTCTACTTGCTAGCTGCTGAAGGGCAGAGACCCTCCTTCATAAAAAGTGCTCTGATGACAAGAGGGGTTAAATGGCAAGCTTTAACAAGAATTTCAGTGCTGAGCAATGTGAAGATGTGAGATGAAAACGTTCCCAAGCTGCTTGTCCTGTTCTCTTGATAATATAATTTTGTCCTTGGAACTGTTATTTTGTAACAAAAGGGAATTGCTCAAGTCTTCAAACGTTAGGAGTATCTTGGGAAAATGACCTCAGTTTCTGGCTTGATCATTTCTTGCGCTGGCCATGCCGCTGAAACGCGTATCTTTGAATCCCCCAAACTTAAAAATTTGCTTATAATATTTCTTTCACATGCATGGCGGAATAGTATTAATTGTGTGATACTTTTCTATTTTCTTATTTAATAAATCGTTTTCTTGAGGGGAGCAATACCAGGTAGTAAGAACTGCCTCTTTCCCCAGCCCTCCTTCACCTTCATGGAAATGACCTTTTATCCCATGGGTCCTTTGTCATTACTTGTCTATCTGCACTCTTACCTTTTAAAGTCTCTGGAGAGTCAGCCACCAGGTCTCCTGATCAACTTCCTAACAGTGGGTTGCAAGGAGCTCCTTCCTATTTGTATACGCAGATACAGGCATCCAGCCAATGGCCAGTTTCCATAAAGTTGCCTTTATTTATTGTCACGTCCTGGGCCTTTGGCCTGTGGTGATCATGGCCCCTTTGCTTGTGATGGATTTCCAGGGCTCTATCTTGAAGAAGACTGAACCCAGGAAACATGCTGTGTGAGCATTCCCCGCAAAAGGAGACGCACGGAGAAACACAATTTTGGAGTAAGATGGAAGGAGAATGGTATAGACTCTCCATTCTACAGGGAATTGTGTCCGAAGACAAAAACTTGCCCTTCAATTTCCTCTCTCATTCCCTGGCAATAAAAAAGGGATAAATAGATAGGTGATAGATAGATAGATAGATAGATAGATAGATAGATAGATAGACCTCAGCAAATAGCAGTAGACCATTGGATTAGCTGATCATTTATTGTTCTGACTGAGACACTTCAAGAGAGTGCAAAGAAGCCTGGTCAATATTAAGCTGAGACACAGTCACTCTGGTAACAAGTGATTGCCATGCCATGTAATGTTTCCCACCAGGTTCGCTCTTTTTTTTTTTTTTTTTCAGGTTCGCTCTTTTAAGAACAACTTTCTCCCCTTCATTTCAGGGCCCACTAAGACCCCAATTCAAAACTGATTGACATCATTTCTGGTATTCTCCTCAAATACTTACCTTCAAATTTCTTTTTCTCTTATTGTGACTGAATTTGGATTTAAAAAAATATATCTATTCTCTTAAGAATTGCTGAAACATTTCTCTAATGCTGTATTGGAGGGGAGAGATGGGAAGGGAATTCAATGTAAATCTGCATGACGTTTATGGGAAGAGGTCTTTGGGTTAGCGTAGGTCAGGTCAGTCTGCTGGGTGGAAAGGGAGCAAGGGTCGAAGCCAGTGTGGGAGAAGAGCCCAGAGCCCGGCTTACAACACACTAGCTTTACAGTAACAAGCTGTTCAGTGTAAGAACCCAACTGTTTCTCTTCTCAGTTTTAACCACGGTTCCCAGAGTACACCAGGGGGAAATGCCTGATGGAAGGTCCCCTCCCTCTGCTGTAGATGGCATGAAGGCCATTCCCACTGCGGTTCCACGAGAAGGAAGGAAATTTGTGAAATTTCAAGACATTCTCGCCTTGGGGACCTGAAAATGGGATGCTTTGGCACCACTCAGCAAGGGTCGCATTTAACAAAATTCAAATGATGAAAATCGACGTTTGCTCGAGTATAACTATGGCTCCCAGTTGTTCTACATCGTGAGGCCCAGCAAAACCACAAACAAATCTCCAAAGCAATTTAGGATAAGATTTTTATTTTTTAAAGGAAAAATAAGGGAGTCAAGGCTGGGCAGAGGGTTAAAAATTCCATAGGAAATATTTTCTAGGGCAGGGTGGAAGGGGTGAGTAGCTAGTCTTGGCAGCAAGTTTTAGAAGCTGCATAGTTTCCTTGATTTCAATCATAGGGACAGGCCCTAATTATCCGAACTTAAAATAAATCACTCTCTATTCCTCTCTGCATGTCCCTGAATCTGTGCTCTTGGCTAGCCAGGATTATTTTTGCTACTCCCCTTACCATATTTAGTAGTAGAGCACATTTTCTGTGGGAGATACAGAGAATAATGGTGCAATAGTGCCCCTTCTCCTCCCTCCCCAGTTCAAGGAGAACAGCACCTCCCGGCCTTCCCTGGGGACTAAGCTCCGCGCCCTCCCCACTCCCAGAGCGGACTCACTACTGTGCCGACTTTCATGTTTATTCCTTACTTTGTTTTAGTTTTATTCCTTCCTTATAGTCAAAATAACATATCATTTGGTTTTATAAACGCTATGAATGGATCTGTCTGTATTCTTCAGCAACACGATTTAAGAACCTTTATTGTATTATTACTGTGGAAATGTACACACAATACATACACCAATTCCCCAGCTTCCGCATGTACGCTTCAGCAGCGTTTCGAAGTGTGACGTCATTCTCCCTTTCTCCGTTTTTCCTCCCCGGATTAACATAAACTTACTGCTGCCTAAAGTTCCTGTCCAAGGTTGCCATTGCTAGTGTGATCTCATTTAGACAGTTCTTCAACCGCAAAATGCGCAACACAGACATTTTTTACTAGTTAAAAAGCAGAGACCTACATTTTATCCTGGATCATAGACAACAGGATAAATGTCTTTCCATTTCCAAAGAGGGGAAATTCAATTAAAAAAATTTTTTTCTGATAAGGGGGCAGTAGGCCAAATAAAGTTGAGAATCTATGGTTTAAGGATGAAAGATTACCCCAGAACATAGTTTCAGGGGTTCATTCAGCCTCCTTGATTCTGGGAAATCTGGAGTCTATTAGAATTTTGAGTTCCGTTCTGCACTTTCCCCCTTTTGATCAGAATTTTGCTGTAGAATATTTTATTAAAATGTTCAGGCACCGTCCATTTCTCCTGATCTCCTGGCAAAGGAGGTATTTTTGTTCAACATTATATCCTTGATATTTGCACATGTTTTTGCATATACCTAAAATGAGTCACACTCGCTGAATGATATCCCCTTGTCATAGAGATTACCAACAATTAAAAAAAATCTATTATCCATGGTCACACATGCCCCGTAATGTGTGATTGTTCTTTTGATTAGTTCGGATCTGCTAAGTCCTTGATAGCATCAGACCACTTAGTTTTCACCAATATGGTTGATAAGGGAGTTTATTCTTTTCGGTGGTCTTATTCTTAGTTTCTGATATCACCCATCAGGTTGAGCATGTGCTTATTCACTTTTCTCCCAGTTTAAAATGTTTCATTTTGTCCTTCTGCATCTGTAGGGGTTCTTTATTATATGAGAGACGCTCACTGCCATTGAGTCCATGCTGACTCCTAGGGACCCTGTGTGGGTTTCCAAGAAGTGTAACTAGAGTGGAAAGCCCTGTCTTTCCCCCTAGGAGCTGCTGGTGGTTTTGATGATGCAAATAGAAGCCCCACGCTTAGCCACTACCCCACCTGGGCATTAGTCCTTTCTGAGGTAGATGCATTAGAAATATCTTTGCAAGGGTGCATGGGGGAGAGGGGAGGAGGAAGGGAAGGGGAGGGGGAAAAAAGGAAAATGAGCAGATTCTGGGAACCCAAGAGGAAAGCGAATTTTGGGAATAATGAGGGCAACAAATGTATAGATGTGCTTTACACAATTGATCTGTGTATTGTGATGAATTGTATGAGGCCCAATAAATTGATTTTAAAAAAAGAAAGAAAGAAAGAAAAGAAAGCATATTGATACAATTGCTATATGGAATGTTATAAGAGCTTTAATAACCTCCAATAAAAAGATTAAAAAAAAAAAAAGAAATATCTTTGCCCTGTTTGCAGTAAAAGTAAAAAAAAAAAAGGTATCTTTTTATTTTTAAAATCTAACTTCTTTCTAGTCAACACAAGTGAGTCATGTTGACAGGGTCAAGTCATTCAGTTGGTCCATCTTTCCCTTTACGGTGTTATATTTTTGTGTCTCCTTCAAGAAACCTTGGCTGGCGCGGTGGGAAAGCGACAGAAGCAGCTCCCAGGTTCACCAAAGCCACCTGCCAACTCTCGCTGGCCACCATGCCCAAGCGCAAGGCTAAAGGGGATGCCAAAGGTGACAAAGCGAAGGTGAAGGATGAGCCGCAGAGGAGATCAGCGCGGCTGTCGGCTAAACCTGCCTCTCCCAAACCGGAGCCCAGGCCTAAAAAGGCCCCGGCCAAGAAGGGAGAGAAACTTCCCAAAGGGCGAAAAGGCAAAGCAGATGCTGGTAAAGAGGGCTCCAACCCCGCCAGAAACAGAGAGACCTCCGCAGCCCAGGCCCAGAGAGTGGAAGGCACCGGGGACGGAAAGTGAATTCTCCGTTTTGACGGCTCTGTACTCGTGATGACTGCTGTTGGAAACACATTTTTTAAAAAAATCAAGTTTTATAAACATGATAGACTTTAGGTTTAGGTTTCTTTCTTTCTCTCTCTTTGAAGATGTTCTTGTTAGAAGACAGAAAGCTTCCTTGTCTTTTGTGGAAAGGTCAAAATATCACCAAAAGAATGTGTTTCAGGAGTGAGATGGAAGAGGAAGAAAATACGATTTTCTACCCAGGCTGTGAGGAGTGTTCTTGATGGCCCTGAGGAGTCCCCTCACCCTCACACCTCAGGGCATTCTGACATCACAGCCTTGCGGTAGGTGGGGGTGGGGGCAAAGCTACAGTCTCCTCTTTCCTGATGCTGGACCTGTAGACCTGACTTCTTCAAATAAGAGTCTTCGTGTGGTCCCGCACCCCCAAAGCGAACAGGGCCAGCTAACAATCCTGGGTCAAGGCAGACTCTGGTGACAACATGAAGATAGTGTGGCTCCAAAGACCCAAGTCTCTCTGTGTCGTTTGCGACTCTGCAGTTCTAGAGAATTCTCCAGTTTTCAGTGCGTTTACCTCCACCTCAGTGTGGACCTGGGACGAGCCCTTCAACTACAGGCCTCACACGGGAAGAACACGGCTCAGAAACGTTTTGTAGTTCAAAGCAGCAAAAAGGGACTTGGTTGCCTTTCACAACGACTTTGTTCCAGAGGGGAATTTGGAAGTTTAAAATGTCACTAACGTCCCGGTGGGAGTCATAGGGTTGTTTGTGAAGAGGATCTTATAGAGCTGAATACAATTTGCTTGGAAGGGGAAGTCTGTCATTTCTTACCTAAAGCCAGAAGGACATTCTCCTGGGCTGCCTTGTAAAATCTTGCAGTTTTGTTTTTCACATCTGCCTTTAGTCAGTCTGCCCTGGTTTTTGTGAAAAGTATGAGGTAGAATATAATTTAATGTGGTTTTTTCCATATGGGGAAATAGTCCCAGCTTTGAGTACTGAAAATTTCATCCTCCCCCCACTGATCAATGACATTAGCTGTTTCATAAATTTAAGTTTCTGAATCTGTGTATGTGTGAATCTATTGATAGATTTTTCTGCCAAAATGCTCATCAATTTGTCTAGCATTGTGCAGTACACTCCTGTCCTGACTTCTACACTTTTTAAAACAAGATTTTGATATTAGAGTACAAATTCCACCTCCACCGTTAACATCGTCGTAAAATGTTTCTTTGCCAGGAGTGTCTTGCCTAATTTTAGCCATTTATTCTTCTGAGTTCTACATTAAAAAAACAGAAGTGTTGGGATTTTGACTGGATTTCTATTGAGTTATAAATTAATGTGGGGAGCTATGCCACCCTTGGTCTTCTAATCCATCAACAGTATAGCTCTCCATTTACTTAGGCCTTTGAAACATCCTTCAATAAAGTTTTATAATTGCTATCAATGTCTTTTGTTAATATTTCCAAAGGACTTTATACTTTTGATGCCATTTAGCATGGTATATTTTCATTTGAGTTTTAAAAGATTTTTGTATACAGTATATTTTTGGTTGTTATTTTCACTCGCTCGCTTTCTTGCTATTCTTAATTTTTGCATGCTAAAACCATCATGTTTGTATGTTCTTTTTGGCTTTCCACATAGACACATGTTTTGTATATAGGAGCAGACTTTTTCCTTTGCAGTCCTTTTACCTATGTCTTTTCATTAATACTAGGTATTACCAAGGTGCCAACGTATGGCAGTCATCAATTCCTTGACATTAGGATCTAGCTCATGGGATAAAGAGTAAACAAATCCTTTTTTTTTTTTAATGGGGTGACAAGGAAAGCCGTGTCAGAGGGTGAAATTCAGATAGAGTAATTGCGGAAGTCCTGTCTGATGGGACCACAGGTAAGCTAGCCCCTCAATGAATCGAAGGAATGAAATATGTAACACCTGAGGAAGGATTTCAGCAGAGGGAAATGGGAATGCAAAGAAATGAGTGTGACTGCCTGGAAAGAACCAGGAGGCTCTCTGGGACGTGGGGAGGAGGCTGTCAAGGCGTGGGAGTGGAAGGAGGAAGCTAGTTAGATAACTGTCACAATAGTCCAGGCAAACCGTGCTGGCTATGTGGACCTGGTGGGGAGCAGGGAAGGGAAGTGGGTGAATAGGAAGTCAAATGCCAGGCTTGGACGATCACTTAACCGTTCTGAACCACAGTTTTCTCAGTAGTGTAGCAAGGAAAAATAAGATCTACTTTGCAGAGTTGTTGAAAGAACGAGAGCTACTCCTTGGACATGTTTAATTTACTACTGCAGTTTATCACCTTAGCATTCAAATGACTAAACTAAACATGAAAATTAAAAACACAGAAACTAACCACTACTGGAAAACTGATAAAATGGTATTTGTTGAAACTGCCCAACTGAGAGCCAGACACCTCCACATAAGCCCTTGACCAAAGTCAGTTGTTTAAATAACAAAAGTAGATTTGTTGCCAGGAACAAGTGTCCAAGATTGCTGGTCACCATTTCAGCCAAAGACAGAGACCTGGTTGATTCGAGAATCTCTTGTTTATTCTGCAAGCATGAGACAGATAGAAACAATGGGCTGCTACCTCCAAATTTCTTCCAAAATCCAGTGAAATTTCCCAAGGGTCACACCAGCATGGAAGGCTGACTGAACGAATTGGGGCCTTCCTCAAAACTACCTGTATCCTTGCACTTAAGACTGAAATACCTGGATGGGAGAGGGTGCAAGAGATAACCATTCCAAGACTGTGGAAATGGCAGTCGTCGGACCTTGGGTGGGACCCCTGGCTTAGTGGGTGTCCAATGCAAGGAGACCCAGAACCACCATATATTTGGTGCCGCAATGCGCCCCTTGCATTAATATGACAGGTTTGGGTCTGAGAGGTAAGGGGCTGCCCTGGCAAGAGATGATGCAGGAAATTGTCCCCCAGCACCAACCCCTCTGCTCAATGTAAACAGAACTCAAATCAGTCCGTACAAAGCAACAACTCGTGGGTTGCAGTTCGAAGCTGCACTATACTCGCATAAACGTCTTCATAACAACAGTGCCTTAAATTCTATGTCATTGGATAAATGACTGATGCTATCAATGCAATTGCCTTATACCCTAAGAAGGTGATTGACAGTGTTTTTCTTTTTTGTTTCTTTTGCTTTGGGGTGTTTTTGTTTTGTTTTGTTTGTGTTTGTTGTTGTTGTTACTGTTCTTGTTGGGTCTGCTTTTAGTCTAATGTGACTACCAAAGTAAACCAGAGTCATTTATAACCTGGGGATAAGCAGATGGATTCTGGGCTCCCATGTAATTCTAGCCCTAATCCAAGAGGGCGCTATACCAAAGGGTCAAGAAGAGAGCAAATGGTGCCCGGCTATCAACTGGGATAGTGTCTAGGGTCTTAAAAGCTTGTTGTTCAAGCAAGCAGCCATCTAAATGAAGCGTCAACTAAGTCTTCTCTTTTAATTTTTATTTTTATTGTTTCCTTCTTTCTGTCTGTTTTGGTTTTGTTTTTTATTGTTTCTGTTGGGTCTCCCAGTTTAGGAAGCACAGAAGGAATGGGATGCATAGAGATGAAAACTTGTGCAGTGGTTTCTCGGGAAGAGTGGGCCGGGGAGAATCAGTGGGTTTGGGAGGGGGAAGAAGCATTAGAGTTGGTTTTGAGGATGTATATACAACTCGTTTTAGAAGCAGTTTAACTATGGACATGTAAGATATGTGCTATATTATATTAAGAAACCATTTTAAGAAACAAAACCCAAACGACCTGCAGTTACCATAGGTGAAGGAGAAAGAATTTGTGCTCAGTGGGTAAAGAGTTCCTTTTAACGGTGGTGGAACAATTTGAAGAGGGAGATCACGAATGGCAGTACAACATGAAGAGAATAATGAATTATACACGTAGCATTTGTTGAATTGGCGAATGTTTTGGTGTGTATTTTTGCCAAAATTGAGAAAAAAAAATACATGAATAACAATCAGTATACAGAAAAAGACTGTTCTGAAATTGACTATGATAAAAATTGTTCAATTCTTTTTGACATGGTTGAGCTATGAGTTCTATGATATGTGAATGCAGTGCCAATAAAACGTGGGGGGCGGCGGCGTGGGGGTGTGTGTGCGAGAATAGCTGATCTCTCTTTTGGCCCACTTAAAAATCCAGTGAAAACAAGTTCTGTGTGACAGACTATGTGATAAAAGGGTTTTACAATGACCACAGGAAATGGGTATCTGTACATAGAGTATGTTTTTAAGGTCAGGCCACCATGCTCTGAAGCACTGTGCTCCACTGCTTATTTAAATGGAGGCGGCTTCATGCTCCATGCCTTTAACCTGCCTTTAATGGCCTTACCACATCCCTGAGTTAAAGAACATCCCTACTGATTAAGCTTAATATATATATATATATATGTTTATTTTTACTGCAGGTCAGGTGGCTGGTGCATTCTAATACCAAAAACTCCATTTTGGATTTCTAACAAACTAAATCTTAAATTGTTATATTTCTAGTATTTTGCTGTACAGCAGGATAACTCTTTTACCCCCCTCGATCGGGTGTATACTATCTAATTCCAATATTTCCTTTTGCAATCATGAGTTTCCAGCAATTCTATGTTATTAGGCTACCACTATGCCTCCTTTTTTTAATCCCCATTTCATCTTAGGCAGAAGACAGTAAACATTTATTGTACTTTCTCTTTCGTGGACAACTTGTCTCAAAGACCAACGATAAAAGTCTCTGTCTGCAGAAAGCGCAGAGTCATTTGGGGTCCAGTCAGCACAGTGGGGTTCTGTGTACTGTTGGAATAGTGCCCGAGCCCCTCCCGCTGACGCCCAGACCTGCAGCGACCCTTGAGAAGACATGGGGGAATGGGAACACTGGAATAACAGAAATGAAAACCAAAAAGGAATGTTGCGGTCAGGGGTGAAGAAATGGGCTTTCAGTTCTTCAGTGTCATAACCCTTGAAAGAAACGTGAAGAAAGTGCCATGCATAGCCAATGCTCCAGAAATTGTGTGTTGAAAACAAAAACGCCTAGCCAAGCAACTTCGATTTCATTTACATGCGTATCAATTCCATGGCCCTGTGAATGAAATAACATTACTATCCCCTTTTTACCTGACATATCATGAAACAGACTATCATGCTATGTGGAGCAGAAGGTCAGCAACCAAGAGGAAGACCCTCAAGGAGATGGACTGACGCAGTGGCTGCAACAATGGCCTTAAGCATAATGGTTGTGAGTGTAGCGCATGCAAGACCTGGGAAGGTTGCATTGGGTTATACATACATGGGGCCTCTGTAAATGTGAACCCGCGTCACCCAACAACACCAACAACAAAGGCAAACAGAGACGAAGTAACCTGCACTGAGATCAGACAGTGCATGGGAAACTCTAGATTAAGATCCAGGGCCTAGAAGGCTCTTCGTTGTTGAAACGGGAGGTGCTCACTGGTAAGTACTCCCAATGAAACTCATCCAAAAAAAATTGTATTTCGTATTTGAGAGGTCAACACTGAGACACTGAAAGAAGATAGGATTGAGACAAAGAACGTGAGGTTAAGAGCGGCTTGGTTAGGGTAGGAAAGAGCTCCCGGGAGGGAAGGGAGAGCAGAGAAAGGGACAGGAGCATCTTGAGCTCCTGGATGGGTTCCGAGACCCAACAAGTTGGGTCAGGGAAATCGCAGCTTGTCAGTGAGGCGGTGGGAGATATACAGGGCTCGAGCGAGGGAGGTGTACATTGACAACAAGAAGGGAGATTTTTTGCTTGCCACTGCAGGACCTTGAGTCAGGATGTGATGCGTGGGAAGTGCCTTTGTTGTTTGCCAACCTACTCCCTGGAGTGCTGGGACAGCTTCGCAACCTTGGCCTGGAGAGATAAGCTCCTTGGAATGCTGGGGCAGAAGATGCAGACTTCAATAGGTCATTCATCTTCCTGAGAGGCTGGAAATGGGGGCCTTGAAGTTCTATCTTCCTGAGGAGCCTGAGAGGAGATGGGGGCTGCCTAGTCCGGACCCGGCCCAAGCAGTATTTCTGAATAAATTCAGGAACTTCCCAAGTTAACCTTAGGAACCTGTCAAGTGCAGTAATACCAATATTCTATAAGCCAGATCATTGCAATTTCCAATAAGGAAGATAATAATAAAATATCAGGAGGAAGTGGTCATAGAAATTAAGAATATTAGTGTGTCTAGCAATATAATACTAGAATGGATATTGTTTCTGAACAAGAATGCTGATTTTTCGACAAATATTCCTGAAGTAAAGAAAGCTAATGTAGGAAATCATAAATAAGTGCCCTTAATAGCCTCCGTTTTACATCAAGTCCATTTTCGTCAAGCTACCAAGGAATTTGTTTTTTATTAAAGTGTTTATTATTTGAAAAAACAAAACCAACTCCCCGATGTTGAACTCGGTACATCTGTTGTTGTTAGGCGCTA